AGGTAGTCCACAGCTGGAAATTTTACAGAGTGCTGTATTGGGTCACAAAGAAATTGTGGTAGCATTTGATTTGGTTTTTTTATGCAATTGTCAAAAAATATCTTTATATATACTTTGTACTTAGCACCATTTTATTTTAAAAGCACCATCTGATAACACTATCAGATGACTCTCAGTTAAGCACATTATTCTCCTTTAGTTTAAAAGCCCCACAAAATTCAGAAATTTAAAACTTCAAATAAAAATGGGCAACAGGCTGGGTGCGGTGGCTTGCGCCTGTAATCCTAGCACTCTGGGATGCCAAGGAGAGAGGATCGCTCAAGGTCAGGAGTTCAAGACCAGTCTGAGCAAGAGCGAGACCCCATCTCTTCTAAAAATGCAAAGAAATTAATTGGCCAACTAATATATATAGAAAAAATTAGCCGGGCATGGTGGCTCATGCCTGTAGTCCCAGCTACTCAGGAGGCTGAGGCAGGAGGATCGCTTGAACCCAGGAGTTTGAGGTTGCTGTGAGCTAGGCTGACGCAATGGCACTCACTCTAGCCTGGGCAACAAAGTGGGACTCTGTCTCAAAAAAAAAAAAAAAAAAGGCAACAAACCATTGTCATTCTAAAGTCAGTGGTGGAAAAGTGACATCAGCGTTGTTAGCATGGTTACCTCAAAATGTCCACAGCTTGAAACTGTATGCAAAATACCTTGCTAAAATGATTGGGCTGATAGCTTTTAAGAAGGGTGGAAAGGGAGAAATTGGCCATCTGTATTACCAGAAGCCTATGTCACTTTTTTTGTTCTTATGATGCCTTCTTTTTAAAAATATCCTTTCCACAACAAGACTAATAGATGCAGTTTTTGAAACAAATAACATTCAGTGCAATGTTAACACTGAAGTAGATGGGTTTATATTGCATTCTTTATAAGACATACGAATTCTGTAAAGGGAAACATATATTGAAAGTGGTGGGTCTGCAATTGACAGATTGCCAAAGAACAAATTATATCCTGTGCTGTAATTGAGTATTCAGCAATAATGAATACTAGGAGAAAATAGCAAAGTAGCAATTATACCAATTACAATTGATTAGTTGGTATTAACATAAAAAGATGTGCTCATTGTGTTATACTTTATTATGCCACCACCAAAAGGCTCTGATGTATTAAGATATTTGACTCCTCTATAAAATCCCTTTTTATAATTGATTAAAGTTAGTGAATTTGGAAGGATACCGGGAATTTGTATAATTACTCATAAAATTTTATTTAATTATGCTACCATTTTCATTGTTTTATGCTACTATAGTTTCTAATTTCCTAATCTATTTTTCCTGTGTTTTTGGAATACTACCACTGCACTTTAAAAAACAGAACAAAGTAATTCAAAAGAACTGTAATAACTGGAATGCATCAATATCCACTATTGTTTACTTTTTGTTATAGATTGAGATTAAAGGTGGTAAAGTAACTGCTACTCTGTATAAAGCAGGTTAGCAGGACAAGTAGTAACTTAGACTTTTCTGGTGAGTTGTACACCCTTTATATTTTCAACAATGAAAGTAACATCTATGTGGGATTAAATTTAAACTCTGAAAAAAATGGAACGATCCTTCAACATGTGAAACACCAGAGTAAATTTAATTATCTCCATTTTCTCAAGTCATGGAACAGAGAAAAAACAGATATGGATTGCTGCTGCATGGTAATTTAACTTTTTAATGACTTGTGCCCTCTATGGTCAAATAAGAATATTACAAGAAATAAGCAGTTCCTCTTCTACAAGTAGGAGGAATTAGCCAGGCTAGTGGTGCACGCCTGCAGCCCTGTTACTGGGGAGGGTGAGGCAGGGGGATCGCTTGAGTCCAGGAATCTGAGGCTGCAGTGAGCTGTGATCACACCACTGCATCCCAGCCTGGGTGACTGGGCGAGACCCTGGCTCAAAAAAAAAAAAAAAAAAAAAAAAAAGCAGAAGTGCTGAGTATGTCACTGAAAAGAAGACCTTCAAACTTAGTGAAAAGTACAAGATATAAAACAAGCCAAAGAACTTTTAAGTGTGACTAAGGAGATGTTCTCAGGGTCAGTTTTTAGTGAGTGGTGGTTAAAATTTAATTATTATTATAAGCAAAAGCCTAACATATATGTCCATTAACAGAATTCAAGACTAAAGTTGTACGCACATCAATAGTATAATTATAAGAGTTACTCCTGCCAAATGTGCAGTACCTAGCCTGCATTCCAGCGTTGCCAGAAACCCCAACAATAGTAAGCCCTTTGTTTCCCAGAAATCACTTATAGTTTTGTTCTCTGTTAGAATAGGCTTTGTAACTGTCAGGGAAGCTGAAGCCAGACCATGACCTCTTGTTCAGTTTAATTTTTCCCTAGGGCCTTCATCTAACCATTGACATTGTGTCTTTTCTTTGTATAGCTAGGCTGTACTTGTTTGGCATTTTTTATATTAATTATCTTTCATATTCACTTACATGTAGATAGCCATGGTGGGCTGCAAAATGCCCCCCTAGAATGTCCAGATCCTAATCCCTGAAACCTGTGAATGTGTTACTTTTGATAGCAGAAAGAGCTTTGTGCACCTGATTATGTTAAGGTTCTTGAGATGAGGAGATTGTCCTTCATTATCAGGGTAGATCCAATGAAATCACAAGGATGTTTAGACGTTTATTAGAGGGTACCTGGAGATTAGAGAGGAGAGAGATGCTCATCTGCTGGCTTTGCAGAGGAAGGAAAGCTGAGGAATGCAGGTGATGTCTAGAACCTGGAAAAGGCAAGGCAACAAATCTCTCCCCAAGTGTTCTTCTCACATTTGGCAGCAATAAGGTCAGAGATGAGCTATGAATTCCCTACTTCTAAGCTGTCCAAGAATAGGATATAACAGAACACTTCCAGCAGGTCTGGGAGGGGAAAACAGGAACTTCATCAGGATAAGGTTAGAGCAAGCCAAGTGTAGGTCAGAATGTGGCAGGCTGGCTGGGCATGGTGGCTCACGCCTGTAATCCTAGCATTCTGGGAGTCTGAGGTTGGAGGTACTGATTGAGGTCAGGAGTTCGAGACCAGCCTGAGCAAGAGTGAGACCCCTGTCTCTACTAAAAATAGAAATATTAGCTGGGTGTTGTGTTGCATGCCTGTAGTCCCAGCTACCCAGGAGTTTGAGGTTGCAGTGAGCTATGATGACACCACTGCACTCTAGCTAGGGTGACAGAGCAAGACTCTGTCTCCAAAAACAACAACAAAACTGGCAGGGGCTCACCTGGACTTTCTTAGTGTCTAAAGATGGTCCAGTCTAAACTGGTTGCCTTCTACGGAGTGTACAGATGTAATCTTTTTTTTTTTTTTTTTTTTAGGGCTTCCTCTTCTTGGTACAGATGTAATCTTGAAATCCCTTTCACCAATCTCCTTGGAAAAGTCCCTTTACTTCTTCCCTAAGTTAGGTAGAAAAGCTCTTCTACCTAACAAAGAACATTACCAAGCACATATTCTACAACATACTTGTTGAGAAATGATATTTAGGAAGTGATTTTCAGATCTCATATGGTCGAAAATGTTATTCCACCCTCATATACTTGACTGATAATTTGGCTGTGTATAGAGTCCTAGGTTGGAAATAATTTTTTGTAAGAATTCTGAAGGTTCTTCTCCATTACCTTCTTTCCAGGCTTCCAGAGATGCTCTTGGGAAGCTTGAAGACATTTATTTTTGACTTTTCTTTTTAGACAGAGTCTCTGTTGCCCTGGGTGGAGTGCAGTGGCATGATCAGAACTTACTGCAGCCTCAAACTCCTGGGCTCAAGTGATCCTCCTGTCTCAGCCTCCTGAGTAGCTGGGACTACAGGCATATGCCACCAAAACTGCCCAGTTTTTTGTATTTTTGGTAGAGACAGGGTCTTGCTCTTGTTCAAGCTGGTCTCAAACTCCTGACCTCAAGCAATCCTTCCACCCGAGTCTCCCAAAGTGCTAGGATGATAGGCATTAGCCATGGCACCCAGCCAAGATATATTTCTTAAAAGACAAAAAAAAGGTATACTCACACACCATCTGTTTTTTCCAGGGTTCTCTTACCACTCCCTGCCCACCCATGGTTTTGTTCCTTGTCTTTTACAATGGAGACTTGTGTTTCCTATCTGGTAATCCTCCCTTATCTGTTCATATTTAAAAGTAGGTAGCTAAAATATGGATTAAAAGTTGTATATGTTGTGGTGATGTTTGTTGAGCCTTATTGCTCAGTGACCTGGCTGGATCATTTGTTGGAAAACCCTCAATTTCAAGTTTAGTAGGTCTTTTCTCTTGGCCTAGTCAGATTCTCCAGAAGACTCTTCCAATTTCCTTATAATAGAGGGCAGAGGGTGGGGAATGGAGACGAATCACAAATTCAATTTGCATTTGTTCACACCATCTGTCTTCAATACAGAAACATGATTCTCAACTGTCTTAAAGTTCTAGATTGGAGTCTCTTTGCAGGCATGCATTAAAAAGAGAAAAAAGTTCTAGGTTTATTTTGTATTAATGCTGAATATCTTTTTTCTGGTAGGGTGTTCACCTCTGTGATTTGTAAATCAGTCTGTAAATTAAGACTACCCTTTGATATACTGCAAATATTTTTTAAGAATTGGATAGGAATCTTTTATACCAAATCCTTATAAGGAATAACAACAAACTCTGGAGCTGGACTATTGGGCTCAAAACCTGGCTGACACTTTCTAGCTATAAAACTCTGACAGGTTAATTGGTGTCTGTTACATGTCCATATATGGGAAAAACTACCCTGTGAGGATTAAATGACTTTTATTCATGTAAGTCTAGTCCAAAGTGCTAAAGTGCTCACAACAGTATTCGGCATACACTAAGCCTGATGTATGTGTTAACTTATGATGATGATGACAATGACAATGTTATATATGGGGTCATTGTATTTCTGAATTCTTGTTTGGTAATCAAGAATGTGTTTAGAACCACCTCTTTATTAGACAGAGACATAAACCATAAGTTTTCAAATTCTTGTATGTGTTGGAAAGTTTTATTTATGTTTTTGGTGACATTGTCTCCCTGTTGCCTGGGTTTGAGTCATTATAACTCACTGCAACCTCAAACTATTGGGCTCAAGCCATTCTTCTGCCTCAGCCTCCCAAATAGCTGGGACTAACGGTGCTTGCCACCACACCAGGTAATTTTTGTAAGATGGGGTCTGGCTTTGTTGTCCAGGCTGATCTCGAACTCCAGGATCAAACAATCCTCCTGCCTCAACTTCCCAAAATGCTGGGATTACAGGTATAAGCCACCTGCTCAGTCTGAAAATGTTAAAGTCCTTGGATACAAACATGGTCCAAGTGGCTCAAAAATTAATTCTATGACATAATTTTATTCTAAAGTCATATTTATCTTAAAAGCCTAAAGTTTTCTTTATGGCTATAAAAATACCACCAAATTAGAAATTTTTATTTTTCCTAAGATATACAAATAGAATTAACACAATAGTTCACATATTCTATGATTTCTAAACACACTTAACCATCAACTGTCTCTGTGAAATGCTGTCGCTGTCCTTCATAGTTCAGAGAAAGTTCAGATGCCTTCTGTGAAAGCCCAACTTTTCTTCCTTTCTACCCTCAAATTTAATTTGTCTTTTCAGAAGTCTTGACGGATGTTTTCTTTGTTTGCCTCTCCATGTTGCTGCTTGATTTGATAGATTTCATTTTCTAGCTGTACAATAGTCCGTTCAATCTCATAATTCTTACTGACCAGGGACACCCAACTAAAAAAGAAAAAAGAAAAGGAAAAATTACTCAATGTGAAATTTATCTTTAAACATTTTATTTAAAATGTATATATACTGTTCACGCAGGGCTATAACACTAACCTTCACTTTTAACTTTCTATATTAAAAACGGAGGCACAATTGTGGGAAAGTAGGTAAAGGGTACACAGAAGATCTCTGTATTATTTCTTACAACTGCATTTGAATACATAATCATCTCAAAATAAAAAGTTTAATTTATAAAAGAGCAAATTAGGAATAGCAGGGTAGAGAATTAGTGAGACAGGAAAGAGAGATAGAAGATAATATTTAATTGGATTAACAGAAAAGTAAAAATAGGGCAGAGGCAGCAGTAATAGAAAAATAGTGGAGAAAAGTCTAGAACTGATAAACATAATCCACAGATTCAAGGAGGCTCCCCTTTCCCCTGAAAAAAACTCTAGGACAAATAAAAGGAAACACATCTATATTCATAAGATTATATTAACCTGAAGAAAAATGTGAAGGGATGCATAAGAGATTGATAACACAAGGTATACATAGGAGAGGGTGGAACAAGAATGATGTGGGTGATGAAGGGAGGAAGAGTAGGGAAATAGCAAAGCAAAAAAGAAAAGAGAACTGACACAAAATTCATGGTCATATTTAGGGATTTTTATAAATGTATATATATATTTAGAAGAATATTTTTAAAAGGTATAAACAAAAGGGAAAAAACTAAGGGACAAATTATCAAGCAAAGTATGGCTGTCTTCTGGGTCTTTGTAGTAAGAAAAAAAAAAAAAAAGAAAGAAAAAGTATACAATCTCCCTTCCTACAAGATTTTCAGAGCCAGAAATGTGGGACTAAAAATGGCACTGAGACCAGGATCATCTAACATTGGTTCAATTCTTGTCTGTAACTCTCTCATTGCTTTCCAAGCCTACACCTAGAAAGGGGCAGAGACAGTGAAGGGTAGATTCAGAAAGCAGCATTTCTTTGACACCTGCAGCACCCCATTTGAATAGTGTTTGAATAGTAATTTGAAAGCTGATGCAATTATCAATACTCACTTTGACTCCATTTCTCTCAATTTAGACCCAGCTGTGAGTTGCATGTTCTTTCGTTGCCAGTTTAAATCTTGAATATGTTTTCTGTAAAAAATTGTTTATATTACTCAAATACATTTTATTTAATTATATTTAAATCACAAATTTCATAAAACATGCTCATTATGAAAAATCAAAAACACATACAAATACAGATTATAAATCAAGTTCCTCTTCCTATGCATGTGTCCTTCTTCCTGGTAAATGCTGCTGAGTTTCTATTGGGTGTCATTCCAGACTCTTTCCTATATGTGTATGTAAAAATTAGTTTATCAAATCAGATTATATGTTACGCTTCAATTTTTTCTCCTTGTAAGAATACTTTTACGTCTGTACACTTAACAAGTGCAAAGGGCCTGACAGAGATGGTTTTGGACCTGAGGCCACTATTTCTCCTCTACTCAGGTAGGGCAAATCCAGTGCCAGACACTGGACAGAGAGAGTAGATCAATTGTTTACTTTCATATGACCATAATCTCACTGGTTTCTTTTTCCTCCCGCTGTCTATTTATTAAGGGTTCACTTGAACTTTGGCTGGGTGCAGTGGTTCACAGCTGTAATCCCAGCACTTTGGGAGGCTGAGGCGGGAGGATTACTTGAGGCCAGGAGTTCAAGATCAGCCTGAGCAACACAGCAAGACCCTGTTTCTACAAAAAAAAAAAAAAAATCTGGGCGCAGTGGCACATGCCAGTTGTCTCGGCTACACGAGAGGCTGAGGAAGGAAGATACTTTAACACAGGAGTTTGAGGTTGCAGTGAGCTATGATGATGCCACTGTACTCTAACCTAGGCAAGAGCATAAGAACCTTTCTTAAAACAAAATAAAAAAACCACAAAAATTTAATTCTGAAATAATAGAAAAAACAATTTCAAATTACCTTAACTTCTGTAGCTCTTTCTGTGCATGTTCAATCATATGAACTAGATTTCTAAAGAAGGAAAAGAGAAAAATTACATTAAGGTACATTCAAAGAGTATCAAGTAAAAGTGAACTATCTGGTTCATACAAAGTCGAGTTTTTCTGTTAAAATAGTAAATAGTAAGCAGTATGTGTCAACTACTATGTTAAGCACTTCATATATGCTAGCTAATTCAATTCTCATAGGAATTCTCTGAGGTAGGTATAATTTATTATTCCAATTTCATATGTGGGGAAACTAACAGAAAGATGAAGTAACTTGTTCAAGCTAACAGAGGTTAAGTGTCTGAGCTAGGCTCTGTTTCAGGTCTTTTAAACTCGAGAGACAAGCTGTTTACTGATACTTTGATTTTGAGTACTTTTGTCACTTCTTAAACAGTCATGACTTCTTTTCACAGAGAAGATGGAATATATCAGAGTACACTCATTTTTTATGTCTGTATTTCTCAATCCCTTTTTATTTCTGTATTTCTGTATCTACATTTATCTTGTCATTATCTTCTCCTGTCTACTGCTAACTAGAGAGAGGAAAAGAAAAGAAACCATTGTAGAAAGCTAGAGATTTAGATACCAGTCCAAGTCAGCTCTAACTAGCACAGGGCAAAAATTCAATAATACATAGCACTATGTGTTCATTATCAATGGAGAAGTATTTCAACAGATTTCAATCTCTCTCTTTAAAATTTAAATAAGTTTTATTGAGATATAATTCCATATCCTATCCTTTCCTCTTAAGGCAGTGCATCAATTATCTTTAGAATCCATTTCAACCACACTTGGCCCTGCTGTGTTCTTGCTCTAGATCTAATGTTTCTTGGCTTTTGTGACTTGATTGTCTGCTGCTCACCTGAGTTACTTTCCTATCTCTACTGACAGGTTTCCTTGCACTATCTGCTATTCTCTTAAAATTCAGTCTTCAAACAGCTGTGCCTTTCTAAGCATTCCCTCAGCTCATCCTATTTTCCTCGGCTACAACACTCTATGCTGAGGACTATTACTTTTAGTGCTCTATTCCTGACCTCCGACCACTGACAAGCTTTCCTTTAAATTACTGCTCCCTGAAAGTTTATTTGTTGCCCTCTCCTTTCTCTTGTCCTCCCTCTTAAATTTACTTTGATAAAAAATACAGCATACTTCCTCTGCAGAAGTACCCACTGGATTTGGAGGAGACAAAATATGCTCAGGGGAATGATTAACACTATAGAGTATTATTATGTGAGTAAATGTAAACAAGAGATTGCATAGTAATAAGAATAGTCACTCAGAAGAGAGAGTCAGCACTAATGTAGTACTTGCCCCTATACTGCCAAAAATGGACTACTGGTTACCTGGCATAAAACTTCTTGTCTTCTCAACTAGATAAAACTTTTGGAGGATAAGGATGACATTTTTTCCACCTTGTGAAATACATTTTTGATTGACCTCTTAAATTTCTTAATCACCCTAATCCCATTCTTCTTTTTTACCCCTTGCAATAAATTCACAAAAGCAAGTGAGTTGCCTGTTTTGTACAGTTTCCCAAATTCTGGATTTTGCCTACTGGATTGTTACATTTTGTGGTGTTGCTTTATATAATTATGTTTCAGAAAAACATAATTAACAAAAGTTTTCCATACAGTCATTAGTTTCAATGGTCTTCTCCACTTAAATTGTTAATAGACACTCAGGAAACTTTAGGGTTCAAAGGAGGTAGAGATAATCCAAGCACTGAATTTTACAAACAAGGAAAATGAACTCTGGATAGACAATAAATACTAAAGCTAAAGCTAGTTACATGAAACAGAAACAGTATATTTAGGCAGCAAAATCTGGTGTTAATTCTCAATTTACAGTTTTGAGTCTCACTATTTATGGATCCTGTATTTATGAATCTGCCTACTCAAATTTATTTGTAGTCCTAAAATCACTACTTGGAGTATTTTGCAGTCATTCATGGACATGTGCACAGCAGTGAAAAATCTGGGTTGCTGGGCAACCCAGCTGAAGGTGAACAAGGCGATGCTTTGCATTCTTGCTTCAGCTCTCAAACAGAAATAACCAGAGGATGGAGTTCAAGTTCCAAGTCTAGCATTGGTTAGTGGGGTAGTCTCAAGCAATTTGCTTTATACTTCCGAATGTTAAGTATTATACAAAAAATGTAGCAGTTAGGTTTAGGTCCTCTTAGTGCTCTGAGCTTTGAGGTGGGTCTGAAAGTAGTGGCCTTTTTATATGAGTTGTAGTTCTAGGATATGATCAGAAACCAAAGTCTAGCTATATTAATTTCAATCCCACTTCCCTTACCCTACCTCCCAAACTTTTAAAAAATACTAAAATTTTGAATGGGATGGGTTTTACCAAAAGAAAAAAAGCTTCTTACTCATTATATACTTTCCAGGCATTACATCCATGCTGTGACATTAGTTCCAGATTCTCAATTCGAACTGCTTGATGCTCTAACTGGGCCATAGAATTGTTTACACATTCTTGCCATGCAGTAATGTCATTTTTCTGACCCGAGGAAGGGGCTGGAAGCTCATATCTGAAATTAAACAACAAAATACATAAAATCATATATACTGCCAAGTCTTTTTTTTTTGAGACAGAGTCTCACTTTTGTTGCCCTGGCTAGAGTGAGTGCCGTGGCGTCAGCCTAGCTCACAGCAACCTCAAACTCCTGGCTCAAGCGATCCTCCTGTCTCAGCCTCCCGAGTAGCTGGACTACAGGCATGCGCCACCACGCCGGCTAATTTTTGTAGTATATATATTTTTAGTTGGTCAATTAATTTCTTTTATTTTTTAGTAGAGACGGGTCTCGCTCAGGATGGTTTCGAACTCCCAACCTCGAGCAATCTGCCCGCCTCGGCCTCCCAGAGTGCTAGGATTACAGGCGTGAGCCACCACGCCAGGCCCCAAGTTTGTTTGTTTGTTTGTTTGTTTGTTGGTTTGTTTATTTATTTATTTATTTATATTATTTATTTATTTATTTTTATTTCGGCATATTATGGGGGCTGCCAAGTCTTCATACCTCCTCCCGACAGAATGCCCCATGGGTCTATGCACATTGTAAAAACCACGGAAGACTGAAGATGCCATGCAAACTTTGCAATAACAAAAAAACCTATGTATACTAAGAATCAATTTACAAATAAGATTTAGCACTATTATATATAGTAACAAAGAATTGTTCACTTCAATGGGAATTGGTTAAATAAGCTATATTATATTCACATAAAGTATAGTAATGTTAGCTATTACATGATGTTACTGAAGAATATATAATAATATTAACATATATTAAAGGAAAAAAGTAGGATATAAAACTTTGGCTATCATTTTTGTAAGACACTCACACCCACCCATGCACTAATGTAGCCATGCTCCCCACAGAGAAAAAAATGGGAAGGGATATAATAATTCTTCACATTTAGACCCACACTCCGTTTTCTCTTTCCATACTACCCAGTCTTTCAATACTGCCAACATAGCCAGCAAATACATTCTTCATAAATTTCAGCTTATTGAGTTACTACAAACTGAATTTTAATTTCAATTTTAATACTCTTACCGTTTCATACTGAGCAATTCAATTGGTTGTCGAGCAGCCAGTCTTTCAAATTCATTTCTCATTATGTCCGTCTGACATATAAATAAAAGGAAGAATTATTTCTAAGATTGTATTGACAAACTGAAATTAACAATCACTGAATAATGGATTTAACCTACTTAGATTATTTATTCTTTATAGTACCCATTATAATGGATCATTTCCCTTCCCTTAATTCTTCTCTGGGTTAAATGCTTGCTAGGAGGATCTGGAGAAGAACTCCCCACCTCCTACTCCCCATTTTAATTCCATAATCCATACTCGGGCAGAAAAGCTAGTATATATAAAGCCCACAAAGAAAAGGATTAATCTTAAATCAGTGGTTTTCAATCACAGCAGCACATAAGAATCAGTTGGTGAGTGCTATGGTTTGAATATTTGTGCCCTCTGAAACTCCCACTGAAACTAATTCCCCAACATAACAGTATTAAGAGGTGGGGCCTTTAAGAGGCAATGAGGCAGAACCATCATGAATGGATTAATGGGTTATCATGAGAATGGATCTGTTATAAAAGCCAGTTTGGCTCTCTCTTGTGTGCTCCCACCTCTCCATGTGATGTCTTGTGCTGACTTGGGACTCTACAGAGAATCCTCCCCAGCAAAGGCGGCCCTCACAAGCTGTGGCTCCATGACCTTGCATTGCCCAGCCTCCAGAACTGTTTAATAAATAAATTTCTGGCCGGGCTCGGTGGCTCACGCCTGTAATCCTAGCTCTCTGGGAGGCTGAGGCGGGTGGGTGGATCGTTTGAGTTCAGGAGTTCTAAACCAACCTGAGCAAGAGTTAGACCCTGTCTCTACTATAAATGGAAAGAAATTGGTCAACTAACATATATGTAGGAAAAAATTAGCTGGACATGGTGGCACATGCCTGTAGTCCCAGCTACTTGGGAGGCTGAGGCAGCAGGATTGCTTGAGCCCAGAAGATTAAGGTTGCTGTGAGCTAGGCTGATGCCACGGCACTCACCCTAGCCTGGGCAACAAAGCAAGACTCTGTCTCAAAAAAATAAAAAATAAATAAATAAAATTCTTTTCTTTATAAATTACCCAGACTCAGGTATTCAGTTATAGCAACAACAACAATAAAAAAACCCAAACTAAGATGGAGAGCTTCAAAATAATTTTAATCCCAGCCACATCTCACTCCTCTCCAACACTCTTATTTAATTGGTCCTGAGGTGGAGCCTGGACATGATTATAATTTTTGTTTTTAACTTACCAGTTGATTATAGAGTGAAGTCAGTGTTGAGAACCATGGGATCTAAGTACTCAATGGTTATGGGGAAAGCAGAAGACTTTAACAAAATAATTTGCTTTAGTGCTATGAGCCTAAACTTACACTTTCTTTTTGGTCCTGGTGGCTGTTTTCACACTTTACTCTTTGCAAGGAATGGAGAAGGGGGGAAGGGGCAAAAGTAACCAGTTCTGCTATCTGCTCTAGCAATTTTACTGTTTTCAAGCTGTGCCTCTTTATGTTCGCTGTTTTGGTCAATATCTTATCCCATTTCTGTTCTGCACATTTCCTACCCTAAGTATTAATACAAAGAACTGCTTGAGCAAAATATTCATTTATAGTAATACTTCAGTTATCCCATGTAATTTCAATTTTCTGAGGGCTTTAACTATCCTAACAATTAGACTAAAGAGTTTGGGGGGAAAAAAAGGCCTTCCAGAAGCCCCATTCATGTTTAAAAGTTTCACATTAAGCATTTCTTGTTGAAGAAAGTCTTTTTATTGGGTTACTGCTGAATTACATACACATAACTCTAAGAAAATGTGGTTACCTAGTTTTCTACAGAAAACCAGGGCATTCTAGCTAAAAGGTTCTGCACAGTGACAGACAAGGAGTAATAACTAAGAATTAGGTAAGAGAAACTATAAAAATGAAGAATAAGCCTGGGCAATATCAAGACCTCATCCATACCAAAAAAAAAACACCTCAGCTGGACATGGTGGTAGTTCCAGTTACTCAGGAGGTTAAGGTGGGGGAGGAGATTGCATAAGCCCAGGAGTTTGAGGTTGTAGTGAGCTATGATCATGCCACTGTACTCCAGGCTAGGCATCAAAGCAAGATCCTCTCAAAAAAAAGCAAAGCAGTCTTGAGTACATAATATAGGCCAAGCCAGTGTTCATGAAGCTAAGCCAGGAAAAAACTCCAGGTATGTTGGGCACATAGTAAGCATTCATTAAATATTCGGTTGCCTATTGTGTGCCAAGCACTGTTCTAGGCAATGAAGAAGACAAAAAATTTCCCTGCTCATGAAGCTATAGTCTGAGCTTATCTCGGTTTAGATAATAGGTCTTCCTCGACCATCCAATCTGGAGTAGTCCCCAGTCACTCCATCACGTCACTACTTGAATTCTCCCTATAGCATTAGAGCATTTACCAATAATCTGATATTTTCTGATTTGTCTGTCTCAACACTCTAGAATGAACTTGAAAGTATGGACCTTGCCTATCCTATTCTCTAATATCCAGCATAGAAAAGACCTTCATAAATAGTTGTTACACAAGTTAATGGATAAATAGTTTCAAAAGCAGTGTGAAGAGTAGTTAAGATATTGGTCAATTAGCCTCTCTAAGCCACAAGTTTTCCCACCTAAAAAAATGGGGATAATAAACATATAGTTATATAGTTTAATTAATTAATTAGAGATGTGGTCTTGCTCTGCTACTTGCTGAAAATAGCTCAAATCGTAGCCTCAAACACCTAGGCTCTGGGGATCCTTCTACCTCAGCCTCCCAAATAGCTGGGACTATAGGTGTGCACCAGTATGCTTGACTAATTTTTAAACTTTTCTGTGGACACATGACTCTCCATATGTTGACCAGACTGGTCTCAAACTCCTGGCCTCAAGCAATCCTCCACCTCGGCCTATCGAAGTGCTGGGATTATAGGCATGAGCCACTATGCCTGTCTGTACTTAGTTCTTAATGTGGTTAACATCTACAATTAAGTAACAACATTTAGAAAAAGTGTAGGAAAACAACTTTCTTCTACTTAAGACTTAGCCAACATTTTTTTGTGTTACTTCAATATAAACAATGCCTTTTAATAACATAATCCTTTCATAAATAAATGATTACATAAAATGGGGGGAAACCCCAAATATGTACATCCTGAAATGCCTGAATCCAATTATTTATTTATTTATTTTGAGATAGGGTTTTGCTCTGTTGCTCAGGCTAGAGTGTAGTGGTGTCATCATAGCTCAATGCAACATCAAACTCCTGGGCTCCAGTGATCTTCCTGCCTCAGCCTCCCGAGAAGCTGGGGCTACAGGTGTGTGCCACCACGATCCTCCTGCCTTGGCCTCCCAGAGTGGTAGGATTACAGGCTTGAGTCACCATGCCCAGCCAAATAATTACACATATTTTCAAGAGATAGGATTTTGCTGTTGCCCAGGCTGGTCTCAAGCAATCCTCCTGCCTCAGCACCCTCGCCCCAAAGTAGCTGGGACTATAGCCCTGGGCCACCAGGCCTGGTTAATTTTTTTATTTTTTGTAGAGAGTATGGTCTCCCTACATTGCTCTGGCTGGTCTTGAATTCCTGACCTCAAGTTATCCTAGCACCTTGGCCTCCCAAAGTGCTAGGATTATAGGTGTGAACCACAACGCCCAGCCTGAATCCAATAATTTAGAAATGATATTTTGTATTTCATTGAGCTAATTAGACCTAACTAGTATCTTGGGTGCATTTGTAGGTTAAACGTTTAAAATAGTATATTCTTAGATATGGTCTGTCCATTCAGTCTTTACATGCATTTAGTAAATATCCAGGCTTTGATACAAGGGCCGCTCTCCAGTGGTTCTACAAGAGCTGAGGTACCTGAGCTTATACATATCATAAAACCCTACATCATTTGCTGTAAGGTAGACCTTAGAGAGTAGAGAATTCCTGTGAGAATTTACGCATGGACCCTATCTCAAAAAAGTGTACACATTAACCTTTGCATTAAGTTAGAGAGTTCGCGGAGCCTCAGAAAGTCCTTTTACGGGTTTCAGAATAAGAACCCCAGGGAAAGCTTACCTATCTTATCTGTTACAGGTAAGTAACATCTAAGCAAACAGCGATTTAAGCTGGAATTTAAAATTCACTTTTACGTAACTAAAGCTCTCAATCCAAAATAAAAGTTTACGGGAATCTTCGTTCATATCCGGGCTCAAGACATCACACTTACTTCAAAAGCAGAATAATCCGGGGCTGTCAGGTAGCTCAGGTAGTTTTTAGTGGGTCGGTATCTGCGGGTTTCTTCCTCCACCAGCGCCGCAGCCTAAGAACCAGAACAAGGGTCAGGGTAGAAGCGGCGAATTGTCAACTGCTTCTTTCAGTACTAGGCCAGCGAGCGCTGAGTCACCCACATAGCCACCCCGCACTCACCGCTTCCCTCACACCAGGCGCTTCATAACCTTGATCAAAATACGGTAGCGCATCCACCACAACTTCTCCAGCCACCAAGCCCGTGCCCGCCATCACAAAGAGTTTAGGTTCGCTTGCTTTTGCGCAGGCTCAGTCCTATTTAATTACGCCCGCCTTCAGCACTGACGTAATTCACGTCGCCTGCGCACTGACGTTGGCGCATGCTCAGTAGCTAATTCTGAAGGCGTATGTGCCCGGCAGCTAGAAATTGCCGGGCTATTTTGTTTGGGGCGGACGTGACGTCACATCCTGTATTTCCAGCGTCTGCTGAAGACCTCAACTTGCCGTCCTCGGTTTGCCTTTTTTTTCTTGCCTGCGAGTGGCGGCGGCTTGGTGGAGTTGGAACTTTTCGTTTCCTCCAGAACGTTGGTATCTGGAAGGGAAACTCTTTAGAACTTTTGCAGGGAACTAGCTGCAGGATTTGGCGGGTAAAGAGAAACTGGTTTCTCGGTTTATTCCCCTTCCACTTTCTCCTCTTAAACTTCTCTCCCTTTGTGTCAGGCTGTTCTTGCCGTAGCCCCATTATCCTTCGCTCTCGACGCCCTGAAAATCTTTGCATTGGATCGGTACAATTTTTTCACAGACTCTGAGTGGACGCCAGTCTCCAAGTAAAATTGTGAATTTTTAGGCCCTGCATAACAAAAGTAACTTTAACTTCCCTCCGGGGCGAGGATGATAACTGTCCACCACTCCCAACATTTAAAAATCCTGTTATTTTGCCTTTATGACATGTATAAAATTCAGACATTTTGCCTTTAGGACTTAGGGTAATAGCGCTCATTACCTCCCAATCACTCAAACTGCTGCCAGGGCACCTCTGCTACCTGGCTCCTGGGCAAAACAGCCTCTCTTTAAGTAAGAAGGCAACGACCAATTTTAACATTAGGTAAATGTGCTAGCTAGATTTAAGTAAGGTAAAAGAGCTTTACATTATAAGAATTCTCCAAAAGATTTGTGGGATTTTTATGCATTTATTCATTAAAAACTCTGTAAACAACATTTTATACAAATCTTGAGCAATTCTTTTACAAACGTTCAGAATTCATAATACTTATAAAAACAAAACACAATAACCCAAGGAAAGGATGCAGCTTCAGATTGTAGGTAAAGTAAGACTCCCATCCCTAAAGCAAAGTTCTCCTCACAGAGGGATAACCAGGATCCACCACAGTAAACCCTCCTACCCCCATTTAATAAACACCTAATTATTAATTGTTCCCTCAAGGTTGCAGGGTAAGACGAGACCAAATGGGGAAATGTCAGATAGGAGTCTCACTGGGGTAAGCTGCTTAATCAACATTTAAAAAAAGACATAGACTCAGTTCTATTCCCTGGACCCACATCCGTAGGAATTATATTACACAGCACCAGTGTTAAATGGTGTCTGCTTCAGATTCAGGCATACCAGAATGGGTTGTAATGACAATACTGTACAAGTCAATAAATTGTATCACAATACAATTTACAATGTTTTGTAAGTTTGAATAAATATTTTCTATGCCAGTTAAAACCATCAGCAAAAGGTGAAGTAAACAAACATTATTTGCTATAACATTTATCAATGAAAATTACACCATCACTGACAAATTCCTCTTTCTGATCACTACTACTACTTTAGATATTAAGGATCTGGGTTCCTAAATTGTGTATGCTCAGGAAATGTTCATATTCTGAGTTCAATTTAATTAGAGCAAATAGTCCAACAATTCTAGGGGAATAAAAAGTCTTATCCAGGCACCTATAGTTTAAAAGTCTCTTATCCTCAGAGCTGAACAGGGCTCTGGCACACTTAATAGAAAAATTTTTAAAGAGCTGTAATTCTACAGAGATCAAATTTCCATCTGTAGAACTAACCAACTTTATCTGTGTTCATAAAAGAAAAGTCCTGGCTTCAGTTCTGTCTCTGTTGTACAACTACAGGCAAGTTATTTAACCTCTTTGAATTCCAGTTTCTTCATTAGTAAAATGGAGATGTAAATATCTGCCACATAAAGTTGATTTAAGGATTGAATGAGAGGATACACATACATGTACCAAAGTGTATGGTACATGATGGACAATGAAAAAAAAAAGGTAGTTCCCATGCCCTTGAAAGGACATTATCCTATTAGCTATAATTCCACAAAGTTTAATGTTGCCATGTGAGGGACAAGCTACTTAAGTGCCACACAATGTGGAGGAGAAGCTGCAAGATGTCTACTTTTATTAGGTACTCAATAACAGTGTTAACAAGTAGGACTTCCATATGTGAGATTCCCCTAGATAGAATATTAGACCAAAAAATGGAGATATATTGATGAGTATATTCCTTAGCTCAGGTCAAGCAGCCTGTGGGTTTAAAGCTGCCATTATATTTCACTGATGAGAATTATGTGTGTAAGGTTAGTGTTCTCCACTTGTATATAGTGCCTCTCTAGTACCTTAAACTCAGCATTTCTCTCATTATCTCATCTTTGAGCTGTTTCTTAAATGTAATACCAACAAGCCTTTCTCTTGTAAAAGACAACTGCCTTCACAGACTAAGCACAAAACACAAAGAATGAGCTAAAGAATCAAACAGAAAAGACCACTATAAAAAAATTGGTGGCAGAGTAAAGAGACCATTGGTTCCATACTCCTCCCAACAATTCTCCAGTGATTACTACAGCAGCAACAGGAGAATCCTCCTCCAACAGCCTGACTTGCTCTTCGACCTTTTAAAATTTCAAGAATATTGTAGAATACTTCAGGGTCTCCTGACCCTCAGAAAACTATTTTCTTTGGCACTTTCTTTTCTAATTAGGATGAGGACAGTCAATCAAAGATTTCATTTCTTCTGGAGAAATTTCATTTTACTTCCTAAAGGGAGAAAAAGGTAGAGTGAACTCTCAATTCATTTTTATTTACTGTAGATTTGAGTCAAGTGATCAACAGCCTAGTCATTCAGAACAGCCCAAAAGTTAAGCTCACATCTCAAGCTATCAGTTGATGCATTTAATCACCTCCCCCACCCCACCTTGCCCCAAGTGTCTAATTGTAGAGGCAGAAAAGAACTCAGACATCATGTAATCTAGTGGGTTTCAACCCTGACTGTAGGTTAAAATCACCTGGCTTGTTCCTCAGCGATTTCCTGAAGCCCAGGGAAAAATTTTTTTTAAGCTCCCCAGAGACTACAATATGTAGACAGAGCTGAGAACCACTGATCTAATCCTGTGTTATAAAGATGAAACAACAGCCTAAGGTATAATTTGTCCATGGTCTCGCAGCTAGTGAAGGACAGGGCCTAATTAGGGGGCATATATTTCAAAGACCAATATAAATACCATAGAATATAGGTTCTTTATTGTTTTAGGCTAGCTACACCACTGTTCTCTTATATCATATTGGATAATTAACTACAATTGAAAAATCATAATTGTGTTTCTGTATGAAGTGCAAAATTAGAGACTTGTAGGAAATCCTCTTTTGCCTCAGACTCCCTCTAAACCAGGTGTTTTTAATCTGGAGTTCTAAGGATAGGTTTCATGGGGTTCATGAACACCCTAAAATAATATGCAAAATTTATTTGTATGCTGTAAGTACATTTTTCTGGGAAAAAGGACCAGAGTTTTTATAGGAATTTATAAGGAATATGTCCAAGGAATGTGACCTGACCTAGAAAATACTGATAATCATGATATGCAAACATATCAGGAAGGATAGTTCAGGGAGCTTCATCTGAGGGAAATAGCCCCATAGATCACTCTGATGGAGAATCCCAACCTTTGAGAAAAAGACTTTTCTGGCTGGGCTCAGTGACTCACACCTGTAATTCTAGCACTCTGGGAGGCCAAGGTGGGAGGATTGCTTGAGCTCAGGAGTTCAAGACCAGCCTGAACAAAAGCAAGACCCTGTCTCTACTAAAAATAGAAAAATTAGCCAGGCATCATGGTGTGAGCCTATAGTCCCAGCTACTCAGGAGGCTGAGGCAGAAGATCGCTTGAGCCCAGGAGTTTGAGGTCGCAGTGAGCTACAATGACACCACTTTAGTCTATTCAGGATGACAGAGCAAGACTCAGCCTCAAAAAAACAAAACAAAACAAAAACCTTTCTTTAAAACACTTTGGAGCTGATCGCGGTGGCTCATGCCTGTAATCCTAGCACTCTGGGAGGCTGAGGCGGGAGGATTGTTTGAGTTTAGGAGTTCAAGATCAGCCTGAGCAAGATGGAGACCCTGTCTCTACTAAAAATAGAAAGAAAATTAATTGGCCAACTAAAATATATAGAAAAATTAGCCGGGCATGGTGGCGCATGCCTGTAGTTCTAGCTACTTGGGAGGCTGAGGCAGAAGGATCACTTAAGCCCAGGAGTTTGAGGTTGCTGTGAGCTAGGCTGAGGCCACAGCACTCTAGCTTGGGCAACAGAGTGAGACTCTGTCTCAAAAAAAAAGTTAAAAAATAAAACACTTTGGAACTAGGGTCATGGTTTTTGGTCAGTCTACTTGATGTGATGTTCTATTGCTGATCTGATTATAAAGACTTTGTGAAGAGGGCCACTACTGCAAACCTTTTTCAGCTACATTTATTTAAAAGGAAAACACAGCAACTCACCAAGACTCCGCAAAATTCTATTCACCCCACTGGGCTCAGACTCAGGAATTGTTTCCAAATACTGGAGGGCCCGGACCTCAAACAAACCTACGAGGAAACTCATGTTGGTGAAACTGTCCAATACATAAGACTGGAAATTAAATAAAACTCTGTGGTCATTACTAACGTATCATTCAATGGATAAAACAATATTACAAAATAAATAATTCTGATAATATACAACTTAGATTTTGAGCTCTTTAGCTTTGCACTATTTTTTGTTTATATTATAATCAAACATTTCAAGTACATACTAAATAGAGAGGGAAAACTTTATGATGGAAACTGACCTTTAACCCCACTTTTCCGAAGCTCTCGGTCCTGGATGAATCCTGCAAACATCTGAGTCTCCATGAAGAGACTTAGGAAATGGCGTACACTTCGGGAGGTGTGGGATTTACGGAATGGCTCTCTTTGGAATACACGCTCCCCACGTTCAGTGACAGTCATATTCAAAGAATAATGTCCCACCAGCTCCACAAAAAACCTGACAAATGCTTCAGACACCAGAGAGTTG